ATTTCTCCTTCGGATCTTGTCATCTAGGGCCGTATGCAGTGAGCATATTGCTGTGGAAGGCAGATGCGATGAGAGAGCCAAGGGCAGATCAGGTCATGCATATACCATGGCTCTCACAGCTATTTACCAATTAGGTAAGTCACTCCTCCCTTAGGGAGACACGAACGGAAGAACTCAGAGAGAAAGGTCAAGTTCTCTTCCCTAAAATGTCTGAGGTAGGTCTCCGTTTTGTGAGGCCCAAAGCTCATACCATTTGGGTGGTTCTTTCTGAGAAAAAGAATACACAATTAGAAGCATGAAACTTAGTAGAAGGCCATCAAGGTTAAGGAGCAGAGGAAGGAATAAGCTCTATAGCTTTGCAGTAATCCTCTCTTGCTACTTAGAAGGTGATGCATATTTTTCTGTGTTTATCGGGTAGGCTGCTGTCCATCACAATGATTCACCTTGCAAGCAAAGCAATTTGAGCTTTGTAATAAGGAGTAATAAGAGTTGTAGTGAGGTTTCAGCAATACAGAGTAGTGGCTCATGGAAACAGAGTCCAGCTGCCAGACAGGCTCTCAGATGGGTTGATCTAACATCCCAACAATGTCACCAATGACCCAGTTTCTTTCAGTCTTCCCACTGGGCTGCCCACTGTATCTGTTTCATCTTAGGTGACTCCCTGAAAGTTTGTGTGACAGATGTCAGCAGCTCTAGACCGCAAACTTCCTCCAAGAGAGCAAGGGGACTGTGATTTGACTATAGAGCGTGAGTCCTGGGCTTTAGATCAGTTTGTCTGATGCATTTGGATAAGACCTACGCCAAGCATTTTGGCAAGAGAAACAGAGTAATTTTAAGTGTCATAAACGGGTCAGGGCCCACCCACAGAGGGATAAGGGTATGTCTCATTCAAATCCTGGAGCTGCTGCACGTCAGGATTGGAACTGAGATCTGTGAAATGTCCTTAATATAAGCCAGAGAGTCATTCTGCCTAACAGGCTAATTATATTGAAACTTTTCCTGTTGTGAGGCCGAAGCCTCCAGAGGACAATTAATCATTTATTCACTCTTGTGCCAGCACCAGTATTAAATGTTCAAACTTTTTGAGAGAGTAAATTTATTACATATACACTAGAAAACAATAGAAGCATTAAATAGCTAATTACAATCACTGATGTAAAGTAGATGACATAAAATGTTAGAACAGTTTAGCTATTGTAGGATTTAAATTGAAAAGAACCTTCAGGGCCAGGGTGTAGCTCAATTATAGGCAAAGTCCATGTTTAAAATGTACAAGGCTCTGGCATATCTGAAAAAAATAAATGACTTATTTCCTGGTCAGAAGTATATCTCAGTAAGGAAAAGGTAGAACAGGACAGGATTTTTTAGATGGCGCTTCAAATTTAACATACTTGAATTATCATTGATTCAGTAACACTTCACAATGTTTCACAAAGAAATAAGGACTTAGTACAAGTGGAAAGATAATTATTATAACCTTTATTTTGACATTTATAGAGGCACAATTAGATCAAATGTGAGCTCTAAGTTTCCAGTTTTGTAACAGAAGAAAGTGTCCCTTTATCTCAGGCTGAGGGAACAGTTCACAATGTTTTTAAAATCTAAAAGTTAAGAGAAAAAACAAGTAACCCGTGACATGGCATGGTAAAGCAAGCAGAAGAAAGAAAATGTACTGATTAGATATGACTTCTGTCTTTCTATTTTTCCACCTCTTATCGTCTATATTCTTTCCTGAAAGACAGACAAAAGCTTCTTAAAACATGTGTGCCATTTTAAATGTATCAGGATTTTTAAATGAACTATAATTGCTGGGTGGCAGCCACACACATACTTAATTCCATCGCCCTGGATGCAGAGGTAGGTGGGTCTCTGGGAATTCAAAGCCAGCCTGGTCTACAGAGCAAGTTTCTGACCTCCAGGTCTACACAGAGAAATCCTGTCTTAAAAAAACTAAAACAAAATTAACTTTAATTAATTTGTTTGAGACCATGGCAGAGGTCTCACAGGCTGACTACAAAGCTACAATCCTGAAGTTCTAGAATTACAGGCGTCTAAAAACATGCCCAGCCCCTCTGAGCTTTTTTTATGCCTGTAAAAACAAATATATTTAAACTTGGTAAATTATTCTGCTAAAATCATTATTTTCAAACTGAAATATTGTCTCCATATTTTACTTTCTAGTAAAAACTGTTATATACTCAGTATCTATTAAATTGAGTCATACTTTCTGGGTAAGTGCTATATTTCATTTAGGGTGGGGAGATAAGATTACAATTACTTTAAATCAAAGCTCCACCTGAGAAAGCTAGGAATGGTAGGTAGGAGATTCGAAAGTCTGTGGCTTGCCAAGATCTTCAGCTATCCCTATCAGCAATTTAAATACTTATGCTGACTTTTGCATACTAAGCAGGTTATCCAACTCAGACTTGATACTTCTCTGGAGAGTTTGAATCACCTTTTTTATATACACAATCATTCATATATACATTTCAATTTCATCTCTAGAAACACATCAGTATGCTTAAACCACTATAAAGTTTCCTATAGTCACATTTTTGTTTGTTTGTTTGTTTGTTTCCAGACAGGGTTCTCTGTAGCTTTGGAGCCTGTCCTGGAACTAGCCTTGTAGCCCAGGCTGGCCTTAAACTCACAGAGATCCACCTGCCTCTGCCTCCTGAATGCTGGGATTAAAGGCGTGCACCACCACTGCCTGGCCTATAGTCACATCTTGTTCTGACTTTTTGTACATTTTTAGCATTGAAAATCGAGTGAATTAAAAAGAAAAGATTAGACACCTCAATATTAGCAACTTGAAAGTCTGAGTTCTAATGCAGCCTGGTGAAGCCTTGACTCAAAGAGGGGGACAGGGTTAGAAGTCAGTAATATAAGCCTCATTTAGCATTTGCAAAATCCTAGGTTCAATGCCCAGCACTGTACACTCAAATAAGATGTGTGTGTGTGTGTGTGTGTATGCACACGCGCGTGTGTGTATGTGTGCGCGCGCGCGTGTGTGTGTGGTGATGAGTGACATACATAACATAATGAATTCTCAAGGAAGTAAATTTTACTTTATCTAAAAAGAAAAATCAAGAGTTAGTATATGGTAGTATATGGTTAGTATATGGTAGGTTTTGAAAATTATTTATATGATATTGTGCATATGGTTATCATGCCAATTTGTATAAACTTTCTTTACAAAGCACCTAAGTTTGTTAGATCACCTAACTACCAAATACTGTTTCATAAGTAAAAGATGCGTCTGTGACATGCTCAAATTGCTCCCAATAGTAATTAAGGTGAATTAATCAGGTAACCATTTGGTTTGGTAATAGCTACTTAAAAACGGGATTCTCTACTTTGGATAGACTTAAGCTTCATGGTAACCCAGCAGATTCAACACTGAACATGTGTATTCAGTATTACAGAAAATTCCCAGAGTGAAGTCCCAGTCTTTACACTGGCTCTTATCTTTAACCTGCTTTCTTCACCTCTGACTTAGTTTATCTCTCCCTCATTCATTCCTCTGTTCAAGCCACACTGACTTCTCTGGGATGGCTGAATACGTTGGACACTTTAAAAAATTAACTAACAACCGTATCTCCAGATTTCTTTAGTTTCTCCCTAATGCCCTTGTTTCTGTTTGTTTGGTTTGTTCATTTTTTGTTCTACAAAATGCTTTTATTTTGAAAGCATTAATATGAAGAGACCTTATCTCCCTAGTTTTGGGTAGCATGAAGAAATGGGCTTGATTGTACTGAAGTAGTTGAACTTAGCAGTATACTTTTGAAAACCAAGTTGCAGCAGTTCACTTGCTAAAAATGCATTTTTAACTTATATACAAAACACGAAACTGCACAGTGGTGCAGTGCAGCAGACTGCTTTTATTTGCAATATGCAATCCTTATGTCAGGTTAAACGTATATCCCAAACATTTATCCTTTCTGTGATAAAAAGCTTCATGTTTGGGCTCAGTCTCACTACTCAACCTTTGCAGCACAGACACCCTCTGTCTCCAGGATGCTTTCCTTGGCATCCACGAGGCTAATTCCCTCCATTTACTGTTCAAATTTGTCCTTCTCGATAATGCCTGTCCAACCGGGACGGTAACGTTTCTAATCCCTTCCCCAGCCACTGTATTCTCAATAGCCCTTGCCCAGTTCTGCTTTGCAGCATTTACAGCCTTCTGCTTGCTATTTTATGGACTATGCTGATACACATGGTGTCTACTGTCTATTTCCTATCTAGTAAGTTTCATAAGGGAAGAACTTTATGTCTTCTTGCTGCTTCCTCATAGCTGTGGTCAGAAGAGAACTCTGTGTCGCAGTATTTTGTTTTCCTTTGCTGTCTAGACTGATTTGAAACCATAAAGTCAGTGACTAAAAATAACCTTTGCCTCAAAACTCCTGAGTTTGGGCCCGACAGCCACCCCCTGTGTGCTCCTCAAAAAGTGAATATTTTCTGATCTTGCTTACCTAAGCAGGAACCCAAGTGTGTGTCAATAAGTCCTGTGCTGTGTTTCAACACCTAATACACAAGAACACAACTTGTTTATCATCTGCCTCCAAATTTGGGTGGGGAAAGCCACATTTATCATTTCCCAACCTTCATCAAAGATTGTTTGCATTTTCTAAGGAAAATGTAGCTGGTAAAACTATAGTTTCACACACATACACACACACACACACACACACACACGAAAGGAGAACTATAGTTTCTCTATATATTCTCTCTCTTTCTCTTTCTCTCTCTCTCTCTCTCTCTCTCTCTCTCTCTCTCTCTCTCTCTCACACACACACACACACACACACACACACACACACAAGGAGAACTACACGGATCCCCCAGCACTGGGATGGGGCGGGGATTAAATAAAATTTTAATGGTTCTGAACAAGTTTTAGTGCAGCATTAAAAAAAAAAAAAGTCTTGAGATGTCTGTTGCTGAAGCAGAAAATGGAAATCCAGAAGGTAAATTTTCCTGCTGGGTTCTAGGTAACTCACCCTATAAAAGGACGAGCCTTGTCCAAGGATGGTACGAAAGCCAAGCAAGTATATTGTACGTCTGTCGAGCTGCTTTTCAGAAGTAGACTGTGACGATATCTGTCCTAGGTTTAGGTCAGCTGGGCTAAGCTCAAGTTCCATGAGCTAAACGAAAACTCTTTAGTTGAGTAACTCAACAAATACATCGATGAAGGTCCCACCCCTTCGATCTCTCCAATTCCGGACATCAGAGCAAGAAATTAAAGTCCAAATCTTAGGACTAGCAGTGCCAGACGGGTAATTCACAGCCTAGAGTGCCCGAGTGACAAAGCAGCCCAGTCCTAGCTCTGACACCGGCCCCTCTGGCAGTGACCCCCTCGGGCAGGACGGACAGGGTGACTCACTTAGGGCCAGCCTTCCCCGGAGGGCAAACTGGGTCTGACGTCATGCTCTGAGACTCTGGGTCCGTTTAGTGGGCTTAGGAACGACTCCTCGGAGCCGACCTCTCCCGAGTCAGTGGGGTCCCACCCGCAGGCGTCTCTCAGCACCCTGAGCCCAGACCCAGCCCTAGAGCTCCGAGAGGGTGAAGTCCTGGGAAAAACTGGAAGCCCCGCCCCGGGGCGTGGCTAGATCTGGACGAAACCACTGTCTGGAGTGCGGGGGACGGAGCCCCCTCTCTGGCCTGGTGCACGTTCTGCGCTCCGCGCCTCCACCACTGGCGCGTCCCCCGCCATGTATGGTGTGGCCCGGGGTCGCCGGTCACGCGTCGGGGGCGCGGCCTGCTGCCGGCCTAGGTGGTCCCTTCTACCGCTGCTGCGGGAGTGCCTTAGAGCGGCGCAGGCAGCTGGGAAGATGCTGGGCCCAAAGCTCCTCACCTGGGTTCTCCTGGCCGCGACTGTCACCTGCTCCCAGGCACAGCAAGTGCCGCCGGTGGGTGAGCTTTCGCCGAGGCGCAGATGGGGGTGCAGGTGCAGGCGGGAGGCGGGCGCAGCTGTGGCGGGGCGGGTGGGGGCTAGAGACACCTGCTCGCCGGCTGCATCTTCCGGGGACCTGGGAGCTGAGGTTCGGTCCCGGGGAGTGAGAATGCAATCCCGCCTTGTGAGCCCCGGGTGTAGTTGCTTTAGTGCTCTCTGGATAGAGAATACATTTTAGGGAAATCCTAGCCTCCATGAACGACTGGGTAGGGTTCGGTCATTCTGCAATCTTGATGTTAATATTTGAACTACCAGCTGTCGGCAGAACTCTCTGGAGAAAAAGTTACCGATTGCCTGCTGACTTTGCCCTAGTCTCTCTGGTTACCAAGTGCTTTCTCCTGAAGAAGCCCACGCAGGAAACTGCGGGTCACATGCAGTCTTAGCTCAGATAGTGGGAGCCGTCCCCCCCATTCCCTCTTCCCCAGCAAGCTGCACTGACTGTCGCTTTCACGCCCCGTCTAGGAATGCCTGTCCCGTGGTGCTGCGCGACCAAGTCGCAAGGCCACAGACTTTATTTTCTAGAGACAGTGAGGGACTAGCATGACTCTTTAATACAAGAGGAAGTAAGCCTAAAGTGCAAATCTAGTCAGAGGTCGCATCATAATTCACAGAAACATTTCTAAATTCAGTCTCTTGGCAACAGTCTTTTACCAACATGTCATAAACTGTTTCTTTTTCTCCATTTATTTATTTATTTATTTATTTATTTATTTATTTATTTATTTATTTATTTATTTTTTAAAAACAAGTTATAGACCTGAAGGCTGTTTATTTTGTTGCCAGTAGAGTTGAGAACTAGGAACCTGAATGTACCTTACCTCAGGCAGATAACATGATGTTGAAAAGGCAGGACATCGAAAGTGGTAACAGTGGGAGTTTGTTTATTATTTTATTCCTGGAAGGAGAAATGCTTTTGGAATTTTAAAAAAAAAGGAAGGAAGGAAGGGAGGGGGAAGGAGGGAGGAAGGGAGGGAGAGAGAGAGAGAGAGAGAGAGAGAGAGAGAGAGAGAGAGAGAGAGAAGCAAAAGGCAGGCTATTATTTAGTTATCCGAGTAAACACTTAGCTAAAAGTAGAACTCAGAAAAGTATGCAGAGCAATTCCCGTGATCCAAACCCACACCGTATATACAGACAATTGAAAGATTATGAGAAAGAACAAAACATTTGCTCGGGGCAGATAGAGAATGAATTTCCTGAGCTAGGTTGGGATTGTGAGGATTGTTCAAGGGTTTGGTATTTGAACAGCCTGTGCCTTTTTTTTTCCAGAGATTACCAAAGGTACTCACGAATAGTTGAGCAAATTAGGTTTAGAGTCGAAGAGAAGGATTGAGAAAGTACCTTTTCAACCATGGGCTAAATAACAACAAATTAAAGAAAAAAAATCTCGTTAGAGAATTTGGGCTCAATTCAGGATTTGTTCTAGATTGGGTATCTTTAGAACGCTGAGCAATTTCTGAATAACAAGTAGCATTCTTTCTCCCAGCAGCAGAAGGGAGGGTTGTGTTTTGAGCTACATGGTGTTCTCTTGTTGACAAAATCATGACATAAGCTTGCTTTGTCTCATTTTAATGTCTCCAAGGAACAAATCCTCTGAGCATGTTTGGGCCCATGAACAGAACAAAGATACCTGGGGTCCTCCTATAGGCCTGTCTGGTGTTAGTTCATGTCAGCTGTGAACCATAGTTGGTTATTACTATTATTTCTTAAAACTTGGTTTTTAAGCAAACATATTTTATTGTTTGTTTCCTGATTGGTTTTTTTCAGCACCAGAGTGCTCACCCAATACCTTGCATGTAGTAGACAAGCACTGAGCTACATCCTTAGCCCATGCAAAATATTTAGTGGTTTTCAAAATATGAAAAATCAATAGAACTGTAGGTGGATTTTTCTTTTGGCCACTGGCTCACAAATAATGACATGGAGACATCATAGTAATTATGAACTCTTGACCTTTAGCTTAGGCTTGTCTCAACTAGCTATTATAACTTAAATTAACACGTTTATATTAATTTACATTCTATCACATGGCTTTTTACCTCTCTTCTACCTTGCACATCCTGTTTCCTCTCTGGCTGGCTGCCTTCCTAGATTCTACCTCCTCTTCCTTTCTCTCCCCAAAAGTCCTACGTATACCTCCTGCCTAGCTATTGGACATTCAGCTTTTTATTACACCAGTCAGAGCAACGCAGTATACAAATATTCTACAACATTTCCCCATTTTTGTCTAAATAAAAAGGGAAGATTTTAACTGTAACGTGGTAAAACTATATATAATAAGAACAATTATCAAGTAAGAATTACATTCACAATGTTTAGTCCATACGTATTTGGAAAATTTGGAGAAAGTACTATTTTATCTATCCTATTATAATGAGTCCGAAGATTTATACCTAAACTATTTTCTACTATAACTTGTATTACCATCCTAAAAATATCTTCTTAGACCTCAAAACATCTTCTTAGATAAACAATTTAAGCTTTTAATTGTTTTCTCAAACTTGAAAATTTTACATTTCTTTTTTTTTTTTTTCTTCTGGTTTTTGGAGACAGGGTTTTTCTGTAGCTTTGAAGCCTGTCCTGGAACTAGCTCTTGTAGACCAGGCTAGTCTTGAACTCACAAAGATCCACCTATCTCTGCCTCCTGAGTACTGGAATTAAAGGCGTGTGTCACCACTACTACCCAGCTCAAACTTTACATTTCTTATATTAAGTTTTTCTCCAGAATTTTGTAATAAGGAAAACTGTAACTATAGTTGTCTGGTCTTCAGCCCCATCAAAGACTGGAGAAGGATATATTACTACCTGAATAAACAGGAAGTGCAGAGTAAGCAACTTCTAAAACTATAGAAATGACAGAAACAGTCGACTGCCTGTGCAATCACCCAAGGTTCCTCTGCAACATTGGGACATCCGGCTTTGGTCTACAGACCTAGAATGTCTGACAGACTTTCCTATGAAGCAGGAATTTTGAAGAACTGTCCTACTTTGTCTTGGCAAAGTTTGGCGGTTACTTTCTTTTGTGTCCTGCTTGTCCAGTTTGTACAGCATACTATCAGAGGTCAGGGGAAGGACAGTTTCTTGCCCAAGTGGCTAGCTTTGCCACAATAAAAGCAAATTCCACTTGGCAGTTTTTCAATGCCTATCATCCTTTTTTGAAGTAGATTGGTACTGCCAGGAACAGCTGTGTCTCACTGCCCTGGAAAACCTTATATTATTAAAACATTTTAAATGCCATAATTTGTAGGTCTTTGAAGTATTTGAAAACTATCTGTCTATCTAAAATGCATTTCTGTATGCCTTGGAAACATATCTATCATGACTACAACTTTGGTTGTTATAGATGACTATTAGCCTAGTTTATATATGTTTGTTAATTATCCTAAATGGTTTATAATAACAGCCTTTAAGGACTCGAATTTTACATTTGTTAGTGATCTACATAGGTCCACTACCTTAAACATATACATTATAACAAAAATAATCTTAAGTTTGCATCAATATACAAAAATACATAGCAATATAAAATATTTGACACTAGTGATTGTTCAAAAGTAGACTCGACAACCCACCCTTTTATCCCATCATTCTATATCCCCTCCCTTCAGAAAGATCCCTGAGTCTAATCTCTTGTTCAGCTTTTTTCCTGGCCATGACCAACAACTTGTAATCAATCCCCCTAAATGATGATAAACATTCATAATCCATTGAATGACCACAACCACACACCTCACCTCTTGAGAATGTGGGAGTTGTGTTCTCTAGACTGCTTCCTTTTGCCTGGGGATGATGGCACCTTTAGGGGACCCTGAAAAGACTGAGATAATGGCCAAGTCCTGGGACAGCTAGCTGTTGTCCAGTCTGGTGTGATGAGAATGTGCAGGACTTACCTGAAGTTCTGGCTGGAGTGGTCTGTGAGGCTGGATTATCTCAGCTAGCAGCTTTGGAGTAGTTTTAGTTGCAGAACTTTAGGGAAACTGAAGGCATTTATCTGGACTACTGATCTTTATTGATGTTTAGTCCTTTTTCTGAAAACACATATATTTTAAAGGTAACATATATATCGGTATTAACACAAGTATGGAATGTGTGGTGTGAACAAGTCAGCTAAAGATTTTTTTGTTTTGTCTTATGTTTGAGCAGGTAAGAGGCACCTATAAACTTTATAAATCCTTTTGGACTATATAACCAAACCTCTATCTACGCCATATGAAAGGATGGCATGTGATAATAAGTCACGAGGCCTCTGTAGCCAACAAGATTTATCATGTCTCATCCAGTCTCAGAGCTGCTCCCATGGTAGAGGGATCAGCATATACGACACCTGTCTTGTAGTCTTTCTTGGTTTCTTTTTTTATATATGTAGACAAAATTTATAGGAGGTCTCCTCCAATCAAATCTGCTCTTCATTAATTTTGAAGAGAACCATAACTTTTGGTTTCCTGTGGAAACAAAGGCATAACTCTGTCCCATGCATTTTCTGACTTCCATTCTGAAAATATATAGTTGGTTTAATTTAGGAGTTTCCATAATCCAATGTCTCTCAGCCACTGCTGTTTTTGTCCGTTGACATTTAAGTAATTCAATGTTGACAAAGCACCATTCAGGATCCAGATACCCTGTGTATTTTCCGTTTTTACATGGCCTTTTCCTTTTATATTACTTTACTCTCTCTTTAAAGACTTTCTTGTTTTTAAACTATTTATCTTTTAATGACTGTCTATACCCATTTTCTTTTCTTGCTTTAGCATCTAAGCACATTATTAACATAC